GTTTTTATGTCCGTTAATATGAAAAATATTGTAAATCTGGAACCGTTTGCTGAAATTAGGTTTTTCCAAAAATAATTTTGGCTGGCAAGCCCAATTTCAACCATTGTCAAAAATTGTAACTGATATCCTTAATAACATCTAGATTTTTTGCTGTAATTTGCCGAATCCGAAATGCCGAAATAGTTTTACATGAAAAACAATTTCGGTAAACAACTATCCCTTAAACGGTTGGTATATGAATTCATATAGTGTTGTGCTCGTGAGTGATCTGTATGAGTATCTGGATACTCCCGGTAGTCATGAGTAAATGAGCAATCTATGACGAACACTTAATATTGTATGAAAATATAACAATCCTCGTTCCAATACATCTATTACTATGAGAATATTCATTATTATTATCATTTTTATACCAAAAATTTTACTTGTCGCGATTCAACAAATTTTTTATATGTGAAGCAAAAAAAAGTTAAAAATTTTCGTTGTAACACAAAGTAATAGTTATTTAATTTTTCATGAAAATTAACTATGAAAATTAAAAGTTCGTTATACAAATTAAATAATAAACAAGACTCTATTCTCGGCTTTTCTTTCTCAATATAACTAAGAAACCGAGAAATAAATAAAATCAATATTCGCTAAGGTAAATAAAATGAACAATTTTCATTTTAATCGCGTTTTGTAGATAAAATAAAATGCCTAAAATATGATAGGTCAATATTTTCTTGTACTCAATGAGTACTCACAAGTACTCACGAGTGCGGATGGATCTTCCATAAATGTATGATCTATGAGTATTCCCGGTACTCGCGGCACTCATAGGGCCGGGGAAACTCCATTGAATGGTCATCGTCAAATCAAGCATCTGATCATATTAACGCGAATCTTGCTTTTTTATGAACCAATTTGATGGTAACATTTAACAATTTATCAATGATGCGAATCAATATGGCATGTGACATGCAAATTTTTTTTAAGAAGACTATTGTGTATTTGGCATACTAAAATAATTGTAAAAAAACATTTCATTATCTACTAAAATCAAATTAGAATTCACATTCGAATATGAGCATGCCCACCAGAAAATAACTATATCTTGTGATGTAATATGAATTGTAATATTATCTCCTGTTATGTTTTCACGTGAAAAATATCGTTTGAGATACTGGAATATAAACTTTAATAGAAATATATGATAAAGTCCCGCAGGCTTTTCAACCCATTCATGTCTTTGTCCACGTTCTTAAGAATTTTTCCCAAACACAAAATATTATTAGTAAAATTCATTCTTGCATGATGGGTGAATATCAGAAATATTTGCAAGCCAAGATCATAAGAAGTTTTCGTTTTTTTTTTTTAACAAGATCTATTGCAAGCATAACTAAAAATAAATAACATCGCGAATTATATTGTAACCGGTAACCTTTTTTCATAGCCTGTGTTCGCGAATCAACGTGACCGGGTGTTTTGTACACACTTTTCATCGCGAGTGGTTGCTCATTTTCTTCTAGACAGTTTTGTGCATCTTATGCATGTTTTTTTATAACCATATTCTAAATCACAGCAATTATTAGATCTAGGCATGGTGAGTTTTGACTTGATAAATTACACCATTAGAATTCTGGTTTGTGTGCAGAAGTGGTAGCTGTGCAGTAGCTATTGTGACATGACTGTCTTGATAATATAATATAAAAAGAAATTGGTATAAAAGTGTTGTATAGAGATACTTGACATTAAATAAATATTAAATTTGGGATTTATTAACAAAGTGTGTGTGCCAATGTAAGCATCTGGGAATCTACAGATTTTTCCTGTGCGTCAAAAATTTTTGTTTTTATAAACGTCTGTTGTGTATTTAAGTGATGATGATGCTAAAAAATTAAAATAACCTAGACAATTGGTTATTTAAAAAAAAATTCTTTTAAATAATGTAGAAGCAAAACTATTGTATATACGATAGAATATCTTATTGCTTGAATTAGCAGAAATGTATAAAAGTGAAGCATATTACACCAAGGCACAGCATTATTTGAAAAAATAACAAGGTAAGTAAATTACACCTTATGTTTTTAAATTAATCGATATTCTGAGGTTAGAAAGTTATCTAATGAACGAAAAAATTACTTGTGAAATTTATTAAGAATGAAAAACAATAGGCATTAAGAAAAGGAAGCAGAATGAAAGTGAACAATTTCCTGAAAATCTTTGGAAAAATAAAATAAAATCTTCTTACATTTGGACTTCTTTTCTAATGTAAAATAAGTAGATTATCTATATTTCTTTTCTTTTTGATTTTTTAGAAAGATAAATATGGCGCCACAAAATAATTAATATGATTATACTAAAGGAACATTGAGTAGGTTCCACCCTACATTTGGGTGGCTATCACCTATACTCCTAATGGAGATACCAATTGAAGATGGTTTTACTATATCTACACCCTAATGGAGATCCAAAACGGGTGTATGACAAGGGAATAATTTATTATTATTATTTATTTGGGTAAATTGATATTCGCAAGTAATAGGTTCAAGAGGCATTTTACAAAAGATATTTTATTATAGATATTTGTATGAATATATGAATATTGATTGATAATTTACTGGTTCAAGACAATTTTACTTTGACTTAAATATTGAAATATGATAGATCAAATGTGAAAGGATTCAGAGAAGAGAATTTTCAAGGTCTATTTTGATTAATTTGACATTACTCAATGTTCAGCACAAATTTGATTGGAAAACATCTTGGATCAGATGAAAGGCCATAAGATGTTGAATTATTTTATCTAAAAAGGTTTGTTTGATCAGAAGACTAAAATGATTGATGTTCTTTGTGAGAAATTCTTTGGCATAAAGGCTGCTTTATCTCTTTGCATAATTCGTTCTTTAGATTTATAGGAAGACATGGAGAAAAAACGTTTAAAAAGAGCAACATTTCAAATTCATGGTCATTCGTTGCTTTTGTCACCGATTTCACAATTCGAATCAACAGCTATTACATCCCAAAAATGTCTGATAATATTGAAAATTACTTTTATCGCAATAGCAATAAACCAAACCATGAATTATATCTCAGAATTGTAAGTGATAATGTTAATATTACATTAGATAGCGTTATGCATTATTTAATAACATTACCAGGCACTTTTACTTGGAGTTGTAGACTGACTATAGTGAGAATGCTTATATAATCTACTCGGTATACTCGGTATCCAAGGTTTTGGACCCTATCTTTGCATATTCTAAGTGGCTGCTCAAGCGTGCATGGTAACATATTTTCTCAATTTTTTATATCATGTTACAATGTACTCATGCATGTAGATCTGAGCAAACAAGTAAATCATCACATATTAGAAAAACATGGATGGAGTCTATGAATTTGGGAAAGAAGCTCGATCTACAAATTTTATTAAAACTAGATATGAAAGAAAATGAGCTAGTTCTAGCCGAGATTTACTGATTATTCCTCAAACAAGACAAAGAAACCATAGACTGGAAAAAGTTGGTTCGTATTTGCAAAGATTGTTTTGATGAGCGATATAACATTTTTTTGAAGGAAGAGATGATACTAGCACCATGGCAAGATCGATACATCATGAGCTAGGGAAAATTACTATCTTAGGGATTCGGTTATCTTTGTGAGTTGGCTATCTTTTTTTGAAGAGAACGATTCGAGAGTAACTTCAAAAAATTCTTATTTTTTATATGTTGAGCCAAATATATATATGCTTCAAACTTCAAGTTATCTCAAAATAATTATCTATATTACCTACCGTCAAATCATTTTTGAGGTATAGTAGGAAATTTCAAATATTGTATTACAATAAGAGCTATTACACAACAAAAGTATCAACGAAAGAAACAAATGAAGAAAAAGATCTTTTATAATTGTGGTATAACAAAATCTTCATCATAATACACGTCTCAATTATTTGTTATTCAAACAACCAACCATTCAATGTAACTTGAATATTCAAATTAATTCCAAACAATTCAAATAATGACATGATAAATTGACGCGTAGTAGTTTTTATTTTATTTTATATATAAATCATATATCTATGGTATGGCTATTAGTGTAATTACATAAATAAATAAAACTTGCTAATTGATTATCTTAAATACAAAAATATGGCAAAGAGACAAAACCCCGTTTTTCGGATATAATTTTATTAGAAATTGCCACAAATAAATTTAAAAACAAACTTTGCCTTTTACAATCAAATTCGACATTTGGTTTCTGAGTAATTTGCTTTTAAAATGTATTGTTTTTTTTTTGTAATTACATTATTAGAATAAAGAGAAATATATATTCATTCACACCAAATTATAAAGTATTCCCTTCTCAAATTCTATTTCAATACCAATAAAGTTGAAGGGAACAGGTGATATGGTTTATAGAGTGAGAGAGTCAATGATGGAATTACGTTGAAATCATGTGATATTCCACAATCACCAGTTTTTCTTTTATCAAGTAATTGGAATGGAAGTTAAATGCTTGGAACAATTTATCATCGAAAAGTGGGCCTAATTCTCGATTTATTTTAATTTGATCAAAGTTGGAATGTCAGCGTGTAATCAAAAGCAATGATGAAAGTTTTTCATTTAATAAAAAGTTCTGCTTTCAACATACCAAACGAGCTAATTTTCATACATTTTATACGGATTGTCTTTTTTTGATTACGTACTGTAACTGAGATGACTCTTAAAGTAAGTTTTCTCATTTTCACACAAACATCACCCAATGTTGTTTCAAGATTGTGAATTTGCAATCACATGTGAAATTCAAATTAGCCAATCAGAATTTAATATCTAAACACTCATAAATTTCACATATATACAATTGATATAAAATATAAAAGGGAATCCGTTGTTCCATATAAATATGCGATATTATAATATATATGAATATATTAATTTAAATTGTCAATGATTTGAAATGAAAATAAAAAAATTTTTTCCGAATAAATTTTAAATGAAAAATATAAACAATTATTATTATTGATCTTCCCATAATGAAACCAATATAGAAGATCTTATTACATTGGGTACTGAATAAAGTTGTTTGCCAATCCATAATAGTGGTTGTTTCTGATAGAAAAATTCATCATCATTCATAGCTTCATCCAAATACTTGACAACGAATTGTCTAGCTTGCTTCAATGCTTTGGGAATTTCCAAATTATCAGGATAAAATTTGCTGGAATAATCTAACAACCTAATACAATAACTTGTTTCTTCCAATGATCCCATGCCAATTTCTGAAGCAAATCCCCAACTACCGTCACTATGCTGAGTTTCTAGACACCAATTAACTGTTTTCGCACAATATTCAAGTAAGTTATCTTTATTTAACATGGAATCCTCCATTATTTCAGGATACGATAATAATGATAGTAGCATGTTGTTGGCTTTGAAAGTTGGGTATGATTGGCTTGCATGCCATTTATCTGACCAAGTAGCCTTTTCACTTCTATTGGCCATAATCAATTGTATAACAGTAGATATCACATTTCGTATTTTTACTTTTTTACCAGCTTCAGTTTTTGTTGGCATTGTAACAATGTAACCGTCTTCGTCACTGTTGAATTTACCTTTTGAATATTTTGCAAGCAGCAACCTTGTTGCATGTATATTGGAACTTATGGAAACAGTTCTTTCTCCGGGATACGTCACAAAGTTTCTTCCATTATAAAATGTGGCACCTAATTTTTTTAAATCGCATTCAGTTCCAGGAAATACTTGGTCTATTATCCAATGACATGTCACAGTGATATCAACATCTGGCGGAATTCTGCTATCCCATGATGGCCATCTTATAGTGTCATTTTGCAAATTGGCAACATGTCTTATAAACTCAACAGTTTTTTTATTTTTTTCAAGTAAGCTTTGGATAAGTTTGTTATCTGACGTGTTGTTATTATTAATATTGTCGTTGTTTTTGCTGTCGAATCTCGTAACCTTTGAAACAAATTCGATCATCGATTGCATCATCCAAGACGTTTCAAATATACCAGCATCACTAATAGTTGGCACATAACCAAGACTCGTACCGTCTTCTGGCACTCTATCGATAATTTTTTGTAGAAATTTATAGGCTTTTGAGTCCCAATTTGGTGAATTAACAAGCACGGAGGCAGTAGCAGCAGCTGAAGATCCATAACTACCATTTATTGCTTGAAAACCTTCATTTTGAACTTTGGTATAATCAATTTTGTTGCCAAAAGCTTCAATCGAATAAATTATTGCCGCTGGTTTGCGTTTTGCTGCCAATGCAAATAATGCTTCAATTGGTATCAGATTCATTTTTTTAGAATGTTCTTTAATTATTCTTTCTTTATCAGGGAATTCGAATACCACGCTGGGTTCAAGTTTTTCTAATTCGTTAAGCATATATGGAACTGTTAGCTCAAAACCAACATAATCGATTTCATCAATATTCCATTGACTTAGACTAATTGTTGGAAAAAATAAATTAAGTTAAAAATTTATATGAGCCACGTGATACGAAACAAATAGGAAACTTACGTGATTTTAAGAAAATTTACAGACTTTTCGAAAACCGAGTTGAATTGAGACAAAGACAACTCTAAATTATTTAATTTTTCTTCGAGGTAATCGCCAGAACGGGAACAGAAAAGACCAAGGGCAAGTAGACCAGCGAGACAAGGTAGAACACTTTTTGCACCATTGCCAGCCCAGCTACCATTATCGTCTTGATGATAAATGAACCATTTTAAACATTTTGGGAAAGCCAATTCGAAATCTTTTGGTAAATTTGTAGATTTGTATTTTTCGGAAGGAACCATCGCCACCCAAGCAGTATCATATGGCGACATTGATACTTTCCCGTATCCAATCCATTCTGTATCGTTGATATCATCCATTGTTCTTTTTGCTGGTTCTTCTGGCGACTCGTAGAAATTTGGCCAAACTGAATTAGCGTGATTATTTAAAATTTTTTTAGCATGATTGATAAGTTTTAATTGTCGTTCTGTTGTTTCTTGTTCTTGTTTTGTGTTTGACAAATCGTCGGCATTTTTATTGGTCTTTTTATTGTCGTTGTTTGTGATAATGTTAAGTTTTTTTAAATATTTTTTGGTTTTTGGATGTTTTTTTAAATTTGTGTTAATGAAAAATGGTTTAATAGTTTTATTCGTCTTTGAAAAAGGTGAAGTTGAAGGGGTTGAAGAAGTTGGATTATTTTTTAAATTTATGTTGGCGAAAAATGTTTTAATAGTTTTATTTGTTTTTGATTTTTGATGCTTTCTTTTAACTCTATCATAAATAATTGTAAACATGGTTAATAAGATAAAAAAATATAATAATAAAATAATTTTCTAAAAGTATTTATATATTTTGATTATTATTTTTTTTCTAAGTAATTCTAAATTTTAAATTAATATCTGCCCGGAAAAAAGTATTTGGTCACCTATTTATATTAATTATCCAAAAACGTACATGATAACTATAAATAAAGTTTATTTCATTTTATAGCTTAGGTTCTGAAGAATATTCATGTAAAATTTTATTTTTTCAGTTTACGTGAAACTTTAATAAATAAAAAAATACAAACTTCAATTGAAAATCTTTTGAACAAAAAATTGTTTATCAAAGTGCTCAAAAACCCACATAATTATTATACATAAAATTTATATTATATTAACCCTCAAATTCAGAGAATATTTATGCAAAACATCACTTTTCTATTATGTTTAGTAGTTTGTTTCGATTATATTCAGATTTTAGAAAAGGACTTGTTACTATTAATAGAGAGGGATTTTGATGGGGGAGGTTATTTTTTTCAAGATGATAATGCACCAGTTCACACAGCCAATGATGTTCAAATTTGGATTCAAACAAACAAAGTAAAAATATTAAAAGAATTGCCATCTCAACTACATGATCTTAACCGATTGAACTGGAAATTGCATTGAAAGAAGAATGGTAGCAAATTCCTTACGAAAAATTACATACACTCATTGAAAGCATGCCAAAAAGGATTAAAGAATGTATTTCTAATGAAGGATGGCCAACTGAATATTAAGTTTTTTTTTTGTTCTTCAACTTTTCGATTTAATTTTGACGAAAAAAAAAATTTTTTTGGTTGAAATTCGTATTTTTTTATTTATTAAAGTTTTACATGAATATTCTTCAAAATTTAAGCTATAGAATGAAATAAACTTTGTGAATAGTTATTATGTACGTTTTCGGGTAATTAATGTAAATAGGTGTCCAATACTTTTTTCCGGGTAGTGTATTTAATAATAAAATAATCTACAAGGAAAGTTTTTTTTTTTGGTCGAATGAAATTTCTAGCGTTATTTATAAATGTTTATCGCCATTGCTTTGTATGAAAGAATGATATGATCAAAAGTTTGTCATATTATTGGACCAAAGATCCAGTTGTTGAGAGAAAAATTATTAACATGTCATTTCTTCTCGAGGATTACACAAAAGTAACAAATTTTTATTTTTATTTATTTATAATCGTCTGGGAAGTTAATAAATCAAACAGGTATAGACAAATAAACTGAAAAAAAGAAGATAATTTGTTGATTAATTAAAGACGTGTTATAAATAAAAATATTTTTTAGTTAATTAATTAATTAATTCTAATAATATATATATTCATACACTATTAATAAGCGTATGCGAGTATAGTTCCGTATGGTGAAAAGAAAAAAAAATTTTTCGGTAGGAATATACCAAACCAGATTAAAGTTTTTTTCTGTGCGTAAAATTAATTTCCGAGATAATAATAATATAATAATAAACATTTCTACCATATCTATCTATATATTAATATATATTAAAAATCTGCCCCTGCATTGATTTAGTTAATTATTATTATTATGTAATCTATTTAAAGGAAATTTTGTTTTTCTATTGAGATTGTTGTTGTTACAAATTCCAAATAACGATAAAAAAATTATCAACTATAGAATTAAGATGATTTAGGAAGGTCATATTAATAGAGTAGAGGATCATAATATGAAAAGACAAATTCGAGTTCTTCATCATGTAGAACACTTTGGCTTCGAAGCTTCGAACATCGCATTCATAATCTCATCCATTTTGAATAAATAAAAACTCTAAATATTATTTTTTATTATACTATCCATAAATCACCATAAAATTCAAGGTTACCGGGGGGAGGGTGTGGTTTTTATAATTTTAATAAGTCACACATTTATCATGAAACATTTAATAATACACATCCTTACTAATTATATCTTGAATGATTAATCGATCGATGGCGCAGAAATATATTTTAGAAAGCTTTTTCTATATTTAGAATATACTAATACGTATTAAGATCGTTTATCACAAAATCGATTGTCGTTCTTTTTTATATTGCTATTTCAATTGAATTTATTAGGACCTCGGACAATTATAATTGAACTGGTATTGAGAAAAGTGGGTAGTGATCTTCAAGCATTTATATACATAATAAAAATTGGTTTTTAAAAAAATGGAAACTAACTAGCCATTTTTAGTAAGATATTCGGAGTATTTTTCACAGTTTTCTTACATACCAGTTCAAATATGTCAAATATGATTGTCCGAGGTCCCTAATTTATTTGTTTTTCAAATTTGCGCTGACCACACATTATTGACAAATTAATATGCGAACGATCTTCAAGCCAAGTAAAATTTTAATATTTGCGTGATATCTGAAAGGGATATCGTCACAAAATTTAGCCAACGAAATCAAAATGTCCACAATGCTTGGAAAATATGGAAAGTATGTTTTTGAAACATACTAATATTTAGTGCTTGCATATAATAATTATCACCGGAAAATAAACCTGCAGGTCATGTCATACGACTACTAGTTCTCAAGTAGTGATTGCAGAAAATTGTCAAAATGTCCAATTTCGCAATCAAATACACGAATATTATATCGGATGGAAAAATATTTAATATCAAATCATGTTTATGATAATTAAATAAAAATAGAAGAACCTGTTAATCGTTTTCACGGCTGTATTTTATGGTTTTTTGATCCACCATTATTAATGAAAGGTGTTTTTTTTTCATTTAAAATAAAATGCAAAATTTTATTTGTTAAAAAACAGCACTAGAAATTATAATAGAATAGACTTACAACTCTAACCTCCTTTCTAAACTACTTTCGAAACTAACCCGAAACTCCTAAACTATTTTCGAACTCCAGATATTTTTCGTGAATTCCAATTTTCTTTTTGTACAACTTTCGTAAATCATCTCCGATTTAATTTTTCGCGATCCATAAAATTACTGGATGTAGATATAAATAGTTCAAAAAATCATGGTGGACGACCAAAAAATGCAGTTTGGCAACATTTTGAATGTTATCCTTCAAAACATCCAAGACATTTTGGAGCCAAATGCAAAACATGTAATTGTAAATGGAGTAATAAAGTTGTTAATAAACTGCAAGTCCATTTAGCACATGAATGTGAATATATCAAAAAAGATATACATATGTAAACTCGATAAGTCGGTCATGTGGGGGTGCTCATATGACCGACTTATCGAGTTTACATATGTATGTATATTGTTGCAGAAAGAGATGGTGTAAGTGAATCTTTGGAAAATGCAGCATATAAAGCAAATACACAATCACTTGCTAATTTTTGGGGTAAAGATGAGATATTATTAAAAAATGTGCAGGAATTATTGATCATTCAATTTTAAAGGTTTTTGTGGCTTGTGGTACCCAAAAGTATTTGGTTTTGATGCAATTCCTGAAATTTCACCTTCACCAAATTATGTAAAAATTATTATTTTAAAAACTTTATTAATAATGAGTGATAATAATAATAAGCAAAAATAAAAAATAAAGACCAAGAATATTTGTTTGGTTTGGGATTTTTAGGAGTTCCGAAACAGTTTAGAAAATAATTGCTGAAATAACTGTTTGCAAAATTTACTTAAAATGGAAACGGACACAATACCTTTTATATATATCGATTACGATTTTGCTTTATCCATAATTTCATTAAAAATTTTTGTTATACCCCAAATAGTCACACCACTTATTAAAACTCATCCAAATTTTCAAAAACTCTATCAAGATCAGATGTTACCTCAATATAAACAATCCGGTTTACTCTTGATGTTTTTTCCCTTTAGGGAGAGATTCTTTTTTGGAAAAAAATTAAAAAGTTTTTAATTTTTAATTTTAATTGATCTACTTTTGAAGATTCTTTATTATAATTATTATTAATAAAACTTCATAAAAAAATAATTTCTATCACATATACTATAATTACATATTTTTTTATTATCAATTTTTTTTTCTTTGAATAAATAACATGTCTTCGCAAACTTTACATCCTAAACAAGATGCTGTTAATAAATTCTTAACTGTTCCAAAGGATTTTAGAAAAGATGAAGCACGAGTTAACAATACTCTTGGTTTTACTCCTGTAAGTAATGTTCTTAATTAATTAAACTCCAACAATTTCTTTCCTCTTTTTTACTTATTGTTCTCACTTTTTCCGAATAAAAAAAAAAGTTTGATAAAAAGCAGCTTAAACAAGCAACTGTTATGGCTTCCGAATTAATGATTGTAGCCAATGAAAACCCTAATGACCCAATTGAAAATGTTTTAAAAGTTGCTCAAGAAAAAACTGAAACAAATGATCCGGAACTTGTTCGTTGGGCTCTTATGATCTTTATATCTCATCATCCAAGTGCACGTTCTGGTCAATTGCGTATCCCGCCATTAACCAAACGTGCCCCTCATAACTCTGTTCCTAAACAACAACTTAATGTCTTGGCTCCAGGTCCTGCTATCTTTGGCGGTGGTGGATTAACAGCTGCTGCTGGTCAACAACAACAAGAATCCCTAATTCAAAATATTAATGAAGCTGAATTTGCTATAAATTTCTGGCGTGAAGATCCGAATTTTAATGAACATCATGAACATTGGCACATTGTCTATCCTGGTGAGGGTGTTCCTGACCCTAGTAATCCAAAAAACCTCATTCAAAAAGATCGACAAGGCGAACTTTTTATCTATATGCATCGTCAAATGTTAGCAAGGTAATATAAATAAATATAATAAATATAAATGTATAAATAAATTTTGGGATAATGAATAATAATACGTAGTATTAAAAATATCCATTTTTAGACATGATGCAGAAAGAGTTGCTTTAGGAATTTCTCTTGTCAATCCATTAGACAATTTTGATGAACCAATTCCGGAAGGGTACAATCCGAGTGGAAATCTAGTTGACAGTGATCGTACATCATTTGCAACTCGTCCTTCTGGATTACGTATAGGTGACTTGGGTGAGGGGATGACAGTTGCTGAATTGAAACAATTTGAAGCAAATATTAAAGCAGCTATTAAGAAAGGTCAATTTAAAGATGGTTCTGTCATTACGCCTGATCTACTAGGCAAGACACTTGAATCCTCATATTCAGGAAATGATCAAGAATGGGAAAAGTATTATGGAAGTTTGCATAATACTGGTCATGTAATGCTTGCTTATATTAACGATCCTGCTAATGCTGCTAGTAAGCTATAATTTTTTTTTTAATTATCATTTGAAAAAATAAATAATTAAAAATAAATTATTAAAAATAGATGCAGAAAATGATCCTGGAGTTCTTTATACGCCGCGTACAGCTGCTAGAGATCCTATATTTTGGAGGTGGCATCGACATATTGATGATATATTTGATTTATGGGTGAAAACACTTCCGCCTAATGAATTTTTATCAGATGCTCCACCTGTAAAAATAAGAAATGGTGATGTGATATTGGCATTCAAAGATTTACTAAATTTAAGTTTAAACAATCAAACACAAGATAAAGAAGCGGCAGAATTTGGCGAGAAAAATTTCGGTGGTGTGAATTTTGATTCGGACGTATCAAACAATCCGGCGGTCACCAAAGAACTACAAACAAAAATGAAAACCAGGAAATGGACTTGGGTGGAGGACAGTGGTCTGACTGAAGATATTAGTTACCTATTTCCCAGGGAATATTATTATTATTTCCGTGTTGAGAATACTTCTAGTTCTAATCAAGATGTAACATTTAGGGTGTATCTGGCACCAGAAGAACTTGCCAATTCACATAGACATTGGATTGAACTTGACAAATTCAAGACAACAATACCAGCACAATCAAAAATAGTTGTCTCTAGAGATTGTGATATGTCATCAGTTGTGCGTCAACCGCCACAAAAAACTGAAGATGAGTTAGATGACACAACAACACTACCAGGTACACAAGAGGATCTAGCAGAAAAATATTGTGATTGTGGTTGGCCATTCCATCTTTTACTTCCACGTGGTCGAAAGAGTGGAATGAAATTTAAATTATTGGTATTTATAACCGATTGGTCAAAAGATAAAGTCCCTACTTTGAGTAGGTGTGGTAGTTTGAGCTTTTGTGGCGCAGAAAAACCAGCTGACAAGTATCCTGACCTAAGACCAATGGGATATCCTTTTGATAGACCTTTTAAAGATGGATCTTATGAAAAGGTTTTTTGATTTTTTGTGGAAATATTAATTGATTGCTTGTTTTTTATCAATTAATAATATTAACGCTTTCATATTCTATCCCATATAAATATAGACATTTTCTGGTTTGAATAACGCTACAATATCGGATATTTCAATTCGTTGGGTTGATAATTTCCCCGAGGTCAAAGTTACTGCATAAAACATGTATATATATATAACAAACAAATTTTTTTTTTTTTATTATTTTTGTAAAATACGGTTTTTAAGACTCAACCAATAGTCTATGATATTTATAATCTATGATTTATAATTAAAGTATTTAATTTAAGTATTTAATATGATTATTTTAATACTAAATAAAATGACATTTTAAATCATAATTGATAGTAAAGCTCTATTGTTTTAATGTTAATTATTGGATCATCAAGGAAAAAATAAAAAGAACAAACATGAGTGGGAAGTTTTAAAATTGTTAAATATCAATCAAATAGAAAATTCGACTCGTGTAACAAACCAGTTTTTTAAATATCTCATTATTTTTATAACAAATTCAAACATCATTATTAATCAAAAATAAAACTATGACATTATAGCTTTCTAACGAGCTCTCCTCCATATTGATAGAGACTCTCTATGTCAAGCTATGTAAGATTTTTTACCAATATTACCTTTATAAACTTGGTGAGTGGTTGAAAAGATGTAAAATATTATAAATTTTCATATAGATATAGCTTTATGTGGATTGTTGTTTATTAAAGTTTAGTGAACATGGCAATTTTCAAATGCGGTAATTTGGTTGATAAACTTTAATACCAAGATTTTTTTCTATTTTATTAATAACCTCTCCTAATTTTTTTTCCAAAAGAAGGAATAAGTCCTAAAAAATCTGTGTCTCAAATTTGGTGGAGATTGGTGAGCAAAAAAGGGTTAAAATTAAGATTTGTGTTAATAGAATTTCCCCAATCGTTTAATGTGACACGTCGTTCGACTAATATATGTCTTCCTACAAATCTAGTATATAAACCAATTAATTGATCTAATATACTTTTTACAAATGCTGGACACTGATTGGTTGGAGGAATTTTATTATAACGTGTCGCGAATATCAGGTTAAAAGATGTGACCGTCAAAAATAGGTCTTTGTAGAAGACAGTCTATTCATACTATGAATATTACAATGTATTACTTCAAGAGGTTCAATTGCTTAACTAGTGAAATTTCCAAAAATGAAAATTAAATTAATAAATCTAAATATCTAACGCAAAACTAATAGTTGTGGCTATACATGAAGTCGGAATATTTCGATTTGAAAGATCAAAAGTCGAATTAAAAGTCGAAATGTCAAAAATACATCATACAACAGGCTAAACTAAACATACAGAAAATTAATCAAAAGTTTCAAATCCTCATAACTCGGTCAATATCTGACTGTTTTGAATAAAACAACTACCATTCGAATTCTCTCAATGAGATGAGTCTAAAGAGATGTAATTCACAAAATCCGAAATCACTGATTATTGAGATATTTTTGTTTACTGTATATATTACAATAACTCGCCACTTATTCAATTTCGACCATTTCGACTTCATGTATAGTTGTGATTAGAAAGAGTTGTTATGCAACCATTAATCATACCTTTACCCAAAAATTTTGTTGTTATGCGGCCACCAAAAATGTTATTATATTATTTAATGTAGTCAAATGATTGATCTGGTCACACACAACCTTTATAACCAAAATTTCAGGGTCTAAGTCACAGATTGATTATAATGATTATTACTATTGTAAAATGCTACTTACAAAAGAGAATTAATAGATTATATAAGCAAAGAAAGATGAGACTTTAAATTAGTACATAAGAATTTTAAATCATGCACATACCATAACTATTAGCTTGATAGTTTGATTGGTATAGTGATGCAGTCATGTTTTAAATACAATATTTAATAAACAAATAAACAAATGTAGATTGCCGTTTTGTTGGGGTGGTATACATACTAGCTACATTCTTTAGATGAAATAAATAATCTGCAGCATATCCCCTCATTTTACAGTTAATCAAATAAAAAAAATGTATCAAAGAAACAGAGAATTTAGGAAAATAATTAATTTGTATAATAAAACATACTAAAATCCAAATTGTTTTATGACTTTTCTCTTGTTAGCTAGCCCTTTCCAAAAGGATTTTATTAAGTAGTGCAAAAAATCCCACTATGATGCCAGAGATCAGTGTTGACATTTGGCTGACAAAGAAATATATGTATAATCATATAACAATTTTATTTATAGGACAGGAGACTATTTAGGCAAAAGCCCATATATCCCTTACCTGAAATTATAAATTTGGTTAATATCAAAGAAACAGAGAATTTAGGAAAATAATTAATTTATATAGTAGAATAAACACTATTTTACAACTTTCCTCTTGATGCCAGAATATGGAAGAAATCCAGCAGGTTCTTTGAAAAAGAAAAAGTACTAAATGCAATTTCAGAGCCTCAACCCACTGAATTTCAAATTCCACCTGAGCTTGAAATGAGTTGAAGATTCTCATTACTTTAATGGATCTAGATGTTTATGTATACACCTAATATATACTTTTCAACTGATGGTATATTAAAATATCAACAATAAGCCAAAGCTAAATGTTATCAAACTAAGGGAAGAATTTTTAAATATGATAATATGTCCAAAGAAAAATGGAGAGATTTTACAAACTATAATGAATTATTCAAAAAAAATTTCTTGCATAAAGAAAATGCTTAAGATAATTAATCAAATAATACTTGACAAGACATTGAATAAAATTAAAGAGATAATTATGCAAGCTGCAGAAAATCACACTGCCTATAAATGGCCAACTAATATAAATCAAATCAAAAAGACAAAACACCAGCATTAAACAACATTATTTTCATTTAAAATCTATCAGTAAAATTCTATTAAGATTAGGAAAATGCAAAATTAGCAGTAAAGGATTTTCAAACAATATAGAATGGAATGAAATGAAAACAAACCTTGAGAGCATTTCAAACAACAACATTAAATATCCAATAGAAGAAATTGATATAAATATTAATGTCAATAATATCAGCAAAATAAAAAAAGTCACAAAATATATAACACATTATCTACAATATGCAAAATAAAAGAAAACAAGTAAAACAAGAACAAATTAGAGAGGAGTTTGGAGAATTTTTATTATTCATTTTGAAATATAGAAAAGACAAAAAAAAAATTATTTACAAATGATCAGTGTAAATCCTTGTACATAAAAATCTTATAACAGGTATTGATTAATTAAACCTTGATTATTACCATTATTATGTAAACAAATTTTAGGTTGAGCTCAAATTTAGTAACAAATATTTTGGCACATCCTGGATACTCATTTGAAATTTTTTATCCCAAGATGATGTTTTGTGTGAACTTGTAAATTACTTTTTTGATAAAATGCTTTTGTACATCCTGGATATTCACATTTGAAATTTTTTATTCCAAGATGATGATTTGTGTGTACTTGTAATCCACCTTTTTGACAAAATGCTTTTGCACATCCTGGATATTCATACTTGAAATTTTTTATTCCAAGGTGATGTCTTGTATGATCTAGTAAATTCCCATTAAAATGAAATGCTTTGTTACAATCTGGATATTCACATTTGAAATTTTTTTCACCATGAGTTATACAATGTTGGTTGAGTAATGATCCATTCTTGAAAGATTTACCACAGTTCGAGCGAGGCTCTACAAAAAAATCCATTGTTGCTTAGATCACTATTGCAATCCTCACTATCAGTTTCATTAATACTATCTTTATCTTCATTATAAATTTCAATTTCATTCTCTTTCATTTTCATCAATTTTACCATCATGATCATTTATTTGCACTTATATTTTTATTGCCGTTGGTGCCGTGATTATAATTATGATGATTTTTTTAATTTTATTATCATTATCATTAATATACACCCAACAATCTATTAAAACAACCAAATATAAATATAGAATTAACTTATATTTCTTAAAAAAGTATAATACCATTTAGAAAATTTGGAGAATTTTTAAAATATAGATATTTATAACTAAAATGTGTGATTTCAGTTAATATTTTTGTAATATAAAGCACCAAGTTTCATACCCATTAATTTAATTTATTTTGATATTTTGTTTAGGAATCAAATGTTAAAATTACAATTATTCTAATCGTCCCTCCTTATCTCAGCAAAAGTTTAATCGACCTTGGTCATTATTTCTAGGATAAATTGGCATAGAAATTTTAGAAAACGTGAGAACAAAAACGTAGTGCTTGTTTGCTGATGCAATGGAGCAGTCTCTCAGCAGATGTGGTAAATGCTTGTCAACTGAATATACAGCTTTTTAAAAATATATATCCATGCCAATCACAGTTATTAGAAGTTCCAAAATTTCAGATAGTTCATGTTAATTTCAGTCGGTTACTTGCAGATAAAAATTTCCCGGACATCGCCTGAATTGTACTAATGATAATAGCTAACTCTACCTGAAGACATCAAAAATCTTACTCGAAAAATAATCTCGACCAATGATTGAAGGAAATTCAGAGAGTAATCAAGGACTCTGGATTTCTAAGAATTTGTTAAATACATATCTTATACAAGGGATTTTTGCTTATTGAAATACGAGTAAAAATTTTAATGACACCAATATAAGCGCTCAATATGTTTTATTTTTTTTTAGAAATTGTCATAACAATGGTAATTACGAAAACAATGATATGGGAAAAAGGAAAGATAATTTTATTTTCACCTATCTCATATCTCAAGGACTATTTATTTTTTTTTATAAAATTGGCTTCTTAAAAGTTTTATTTCTCCATGGTCTTAGCATTATTATTACTTGGGAGATGACACAAACTATACAAAGATAACAGTTCACAGCCTTCACTTTATTTCAATCACAGATTTTGTTTGTTGATTTGTTTGATTAAATAATGGAGGCCATTGACACTATTTCCCACTTTCATAGCATTGAGTTTTATTCAACCCAGCAGTATTAGATCTTTTTACAACATTTGCAGCATTATCCACACAATCTACAGTTGTCTTTATGAGTTTTTTATTTGTTCAAAGCTACCATCACGTTTGAATTTGAAATGATGAAATACTTTCATAATAATTATAAATGCAAATGCAAATAAATCAAATAGTTATATTATTATTTATGTTGTCACCAAATCACTACAAGGATACCAGATGCAACTTTTTGTGACGATTGCAACCATAGTCAAGTCATATAAAATGGGTGCAGCCTTGGGCCTATTTCAATCTTATTTTAAAAAATTTTTGATAAAAAGACGCAGTGTTGTATGTTTTTTACAATTGATTTAATAATACTTTAAACTTGAATTTCATATTTAAATAAAAAATATACATTGCCTCTTGAATTACATAAAATAGTATAAGATACATAATTGTTTTTAAAATAGAACAGAAACCATGCCATCAATATTTTTAATTGCTAAACTACCATTTGTAAATCTATTATTGGATGTATTTGTGACGTCGATTAAATGTTTAGTTTCAGATTGAACTGAATTAGTTGTGATTACACCATTTCTTGTAGAAATATCATAACTACCAGTGAACCCATCGATCTATTATTATATAATTAATGAATTATCATTCATTACATTAATAAAAAAGCATTATAGTATAAATAATAATAACAATAATATGCCATAATATAAATAAAATATAATATTATACTTACAAAATTCAAATTAACCTGACCACGATCGTTTCTGATCCTAACTATAGGAGAGATCACATTATCAGCAATTCCAACATTTAGATTTAAATCAGCATTATCAGCATTAATATAAACTTGATCCTCGATGCCTTTAATTGTTCCGCCTATGTTACCATTATCATTAAAAATTATCAATGATTTAGCAAGCAAACCATTAAATTGCAGTGTAGCATCATCATTATGAATTATTATTGTTTGGTTGTACTTGATAGGATTCTCTACAAATGTTGTATCAAAATCACCTATATGAATCGTTGTGGCATTGGTTGTTAGATCCACGTTCAATGGTAGGATGAGTTCAATATTTGCTACTATACATTTAGGCGGCATACTAACACCAAATAAAACTGTCGAGGGTGCTTGATCCTAAATTATAATATTTTTGCAGAGTTTACAAATGAATAAGTGAATAATGAATGACCCTAGTTTTTCTCCAAAAAAAAATAAAAAATAAAAAATAAAAAAAGATTATAAATTACAATTTTTAGGTAAAAAGATTTTTTAGATATTCCTTGCTCGATATAAATCCTATCATTTGCCAAAGAATTATATTGTACTTTGACAAGTGCATTAGTTTCAGTGGTTGAATCAGACTGTGAGACACTTATAGATCCATACTAAATCAATGTAAAATGATACATTAACAAATAGCGGCAAATAATAATTAACAAAAGGAATACTTGATAACTACCTTGACATATTTTGATAAGATTTTGAAATTATTTTGAACATTTGGATTAAAACTCAAGAGTTGAGTATTATTTGAATCACCTAATTCAAGAGAATCACATGCTCTATGATTAGAAGCTCCAATTGACTAGTTGATAGAATGGATGAGAAATTAATTTAATTTTTAAGATGTAATCGAATAATAATAATAAAAACATTTTTGTTTTTCTTTCCATTAAAAAAAAAAAAAAAACAATTGTGTTCTATACTTACAGCTATAATAATAATCACCAATATGATTATTCCAAATATTAGCAAACAAAGTTTAGTTCGTATTTTCCTTTTACAACAACAACAGCAATATCCATTTATATTGCCTATATATATATATAAAAGATCAAAATAATTTTTAATTTGATGAATGATTAATTAATTGATTGACAAAAAAAAAAAATTATAATATTATTTATAACCTTTTCTTCTATTATTATTAGAAGATGCACTTAAGTTATTTGTTGAATAAAAATTTGGATCACGGTAATTTGGAACAATTTGCTGATAAGTTGGTAGTTCGTCATCACCATCAACATCTATTAAAACTGGTAACGGTATTTTCACCACTTGTTCATATGATGGAGGAAAAAGTGAATTACTATTATTGTCATCATTTTTATCATCATCATTACTATTCATATCATTATTAATATTTGTTGATGAAGAAGATGAAAGAGAAGAAGAAGATGATGATCCAACAGCATTTGTACTGTCATTATTATCATTATTATTATTATCAATATCATTATTAATATTCGTTGTTGAAGAAGATGACAGAGAAGAAGAAGATGATCCAACAGCATTTATACTGTCACTATTATCATTATTAATATTCGTTGACGAAGAAGAAGATAATCCAACAGCATTTGTACTGTCACTATTATCATTATTATTATTATCAATGTTATCATCATCATTACTATTCATATCATTATTAATATTCGTTGATGATGAAGATGAAAGAGAAGAAGATGATCCAACAGCATTTGTACTGTCACTATTATCATTATTATCAGTATTATTACTACTATCAGTATTATTACTACTATCAGTATTATTACTACTATCAGTATTATTACTACTAGTAGTATTATTACTAGTATTATTATTATTATCGGCGTTGTTATTATTATCGGCGTCGTCTAATTGTGTCATTTCTTCTGGAGGTTCTTCTCGAATTTCTTGATGCTGCTGTTCTTGTAATAATTCTTGTGGTGGTGTTGGTGGTGGTGGTTGTGTCATATTTTTTTTATTTATTTATATTAAAATTTTTTACATGAAAAAATTTTACAACAACAATAATAATAATACAATAATAATAAATAGTAATAAATACAAATGATCGTAAAAAAACTAGTAATAGTAGTAACCAATATGTTATTTTTAGTAATTAATAATACGATTGAGACATATTTAGTGCAATGGTAGCAATGTATAAATTTTATGAATTCAGTCGGCGTGCACAGCAAAAAAGAAAAAATTAGACTTGCGAAATTGCAGCCATTTCTAAATTAGGTTCAAATATCCCTAAACTGTTTCAGAACTCCGAAAAAACTCCGAAACTATAATATTAACTGTATTCGAAAATTTTAACACCATTTTCAAATTCCCAAAAACTGTTTTTCAATTAACATATATTTATATACTGGACGTAAATTTTTTTTTAAAAAAAAAATAAACCCCTAATAATTTTAAATATAAAAACAAATAAGTTAATAGGTATGCTGTCTTTTTTATTTAAAATTACATAGTCAGGGTATGTATGGATGTCCATATTCGTCAATATTGCAGAATCCTACGAACTTCAAAAGGATTTATAGACAGCCGAGATTTTATTAACATCATTGACTGTATGTATCTTTAGGCTTTATGTATTAAAGCAATAGAGGGCCATAATTTTCTGGACCATCTTTAGATTCACAAAGAATTAATTAATAAGTGGATTACATGGGTCATGATTGTTTTGGGAAATAATAGTTTGGAATTGTGTATTTAAAGTAATAGTAATTAAAAATTAGATCCATTACCACTTATGGATTAACAAATTTAATAATATTAAAGACAATGGGCTCATAGTTCACAATAATGACGGAGAGTGAAAAGGCGAATCGGAAATAATTAGACTCTTTGTTGTTGACATTAATATTATGGTAGATTTTTCAATCGGAGAACAAAAAAATCGCAGATTCAATTTAATACGCATACTGTAAACTTGACCTGTCTGTTTGAGATTTGGGGTTTGAGGTAGATCAGTACTTTATTCCGATTTCAAAATATCTACAAGCATTAATTCTTCCGAGGACGAAGTTTCAATTGGAGAGATTTGTTTTAAATAATAAGTGAACTTATAATAATATCTTTTCTTCTTTAGGCTATCAATGTTGTAGTTATGATATTAGGATTTTTTTTTCTGGCGAGCTTCGTAATATTATTACAGAATTGCCATATATTATGGCGAAAAATTAAAGGGACTATCTACCTTTTCAAAATTCTTTTCGGGTATTATTATTATGAAGAAGGAAACCAACATTTTTTTTTTTAATGATTTGATTGCCTACGTCATATCACTTTAATAATAAATCACGTACTCCACGAACTTTCTATCACTGGACTTTTTTCCTTGCCATTAAATTTATAATAAAAAGTACAGTGAATGGATCCGAGGAATTTACTGTAACAAGTAAGTTTTATTATGCTAAGTTACGTTTTATCGTTTTACGCAAGATTTTTTTTAAATTAAATGCCAAATCTTTAATTTTTTTTCAAGGACAAATATAGACAATACACTTACATCACAATACATGTGGAATGATATCATAAAAATTTTCGTAAATTATTTAGCGTTCATTATTTAATTTTTTTCGATTCTTTTCATCCCAAGTTCGTCGGAAATATGTTCGGGCTTTCACTACCATCTATTTCAATTTTTTTACAATGTTCCACATCAACTGGTACATTATAAGATCTAGTTTTATTAATATAGATTAAATTGTTTTTATCAAAATAAAAATAAACAAGTAATTTAATAATAATGAATTAAAATATATCCGGAAATCAGTATCTCAAACGACATTAATTGGGAGCAAATGAAACCATTCGATCTTTGTTATAATGCCTCTTTATTATTGTATTATAATTTCATTACTAACAAGCAGGCCAACTACTGTAATAATGACAAACGAATGAAAAATACGACAAACGATATTGCCAAGATTCAAATACGCCATTAAAGTAAATAGAATTAATTATTGCTTATTACAATTCATTATTAACGAGTAAATTCATTAAATATTATTACAACAGATGAAAATATTACCAGATATGGTTTGTATTGTAATGCCAAGACTCAAAATACGCACGCCATTAAAAATAAATATAGTTAATATGGTTACCCAATGATAAATATTCAATAAAGAAAAAAAATATAATAAATTTTACCGAACATATTGGTTGTTTGAGTCATGTTCACGTGAGTTTTGTCCTAACATAACCTATTTGGTTTAATAATAAAAAACCAATAAAAATGCATTAATTTTATAAATAATGAAATCAATTGAATTGATAGAGCGCTATTATAATGAAACCATAGGATCGAAGCAAATATTGATAAGAAGCCTTGAGATCTATCGAACAATAATTATAATAAATATTAATACAATTGGCAAGGAGGAGTTGGTTAACGAAAATAATTTATTGGTAAGCTAACTATCTAGTGTGCTTTTTAAAATAGCGGTATGGTTTTTATTCAAATGTAAGATTTTCAGGTGGATCTTGAATATAAAGAAAAGTCAGTATTCAATGCTTCTTTTTTTGTATAGTAACTACTAATTCATGTTCAGCTGTTCTTCATCATTGATTTCAACATTTCCAAATTCTTGGATTTCATCAGAAATTTCAATATTTACTAGTTTATTAATTAGGTTTACAATCTTCTCAAATGAGTTGATCGTTTATACCACTTGTTTTTATTTCCATTAAACCATCTACAACAGATAAAATCCTGTCTTTAACAAACAGTTTCTAATATTTAGTACTAAGTTTAATTGCATCTGATATTTTAAGTTGTTCAAGAGAAGTATTAAGACTTTGATGCAAATCGTAAGTATCAATTCTGCGTGATGAGCCTGAAAAGAATCATAGTAAACACAAACTTTAATAGAATCTATAATTCCCGCGTCAACAGATTGTAGATGAGCAGTTGTATTAGGAGGAAAATGATGGAATGCGATATTTGTTAAAGCATTTTTTTTGGTCAAGAATGTATACTGGAACAATAGTAAAATATTTTTATTTTCTTCGGTTATTCTCCTATTCAACCTTACCAAATATTGATTCTGAATAGAAACCTGCATCCAGGCTTTTTGTGTTCCAATAGCAACCAATTGGAAGCTTTGAATTATTATGTTTTTGATAAATAAGAGAGGATGTTTGACAGTTCCTGTTGCATTCGTGGTCAAATAAAAGGGTCATTCGTTTTTAGTGCCAGAAAGAGGATCAGTTTATAATTTCTAAATCCTAATATTTATAATTACATTAAACTAATTTTGCCAGTTTCATCACAACAGTTATGCACATATTCTTAAGGAAATTTCTTGATTATTGCTTGTAATTTTCTTTTCTCTTCAGAAAGAGTTTCATATTGCTTTATATATTATTTCTTTTCTTAAATTTTGAAACCCAACCATCTGAACCACATCATCAATCCGCTTTCAAGGTCAAGTTATTTTAAAGCTTTATTTTTTTGTTTGGTATTGTTAGGATTGACAGATGGTCAATCTATATTTATATTCAAATGATGAGTTTCTTTCATAATATTGTTTGTTTAATTGATCAATTTTCATTTTTTTATTGCAAAAAATATAAATATACAAAATAAATTTTTAAATATTATAAATCTCATACTGATTAATTGTTTCAAATATTATATGGGAATGCAAGTAGAAAAATATTCAATTCATTCATATAACAATATTAATTTATTTTTTATCAATTATTTGAAATACTTCTAATTCATCATATTTACTACCATTTACTATATTAATGTTATTATAAGAATTATAATTATTATGATAAATAGTAATAGTGCTGTCTGTTTTAAAATAAAGATCACAACTAAAAAGAGCTAAATTAAAAGAATGACAGAGAATTGCACAATTATAATTATTTATAACATAACTAAACTGGGCAGAATTAATATCATTTCTATTACTAATATTAAAGATAAAACTTTCAGTTGTATTTTTAGTTATATAAGATTTATTATTTAAATTCCAATCAAGTGGATTATAACCTCCTACTAATTGATCTGAGTTTTGTATTTTGCCAACTACAAGAGTTTTATTGATATTATCACATTTTTGATGAAAAGCAGCTACACTTAAACCATCTCTACTACTACGATATATAAGTTTAAATTCATATTTAACTTCCCTGGGTGAATTATATTGTGGACTTTTTTTATCAATCCAACTTGCAAAAAGCAAAATAAGATTTTGATTGATAGTCAATGGTTTAAGTGATAAATTAATTCTTGATGGTAATAAATTTAATGTTTGTTGTCTATCAGGAAATACATAATCTTGTAAAAGTGGTTTCCATAAAGTTCTAGGAAAAAGTAGATTATATGGTTCAATTTTATCAAAAAAATCCTCTTTAGA